CCATCCCCACCTATGTCTGTCTTATTTCTTAGTTTATGATCTACTTAATCCAATTCGCTGAATTATCACTCGATTTGCTATGTAATGTACTCTAGATTACTTCTTGCTGTAAGCACTTCAAATTCCCCTTAATTATTTGATCTATTTAAAGATCTGGGCCCTCCCTATCCGTTACTTCTTATTTTTTCAAATTTCATCTTATATCAGCTGATTTTGCCCCGATTCTCCATTCTCAATCAATGGTGAATTTTCTTCCCTAGCAATCCATTTGATTCACTTCACTTCGTTCACTAATTAGTTTGTTTCTTTTATACCTTCGTATTTATGTTTTGTATTTTTATTTCACGGAGTTCCATAGTTGGCGCATTTATTATGTGGCATTTCTGTACCTTATTTTCTATGCACATGCATCATGTCCTGTGCTTTGAGAACAATATTATATTGATAGACATCACTGGGACCTGAACACTTCCTTTTCATGTTTTTTTAAAGAATGTTTTATTAACATTTAGTTATTCGCTTCTGTATTTATATTTTACTTAAGTGATGGCGAGGCAGTCGAAGTATCATTCCATGAAAGCGGCAAGTAGGAGTTAACGTGTTTGCTCCTACCATCAGGTTGATCAATCTTACTAGTTATCTCTTAATACGTTCTACCCTGGTCGTGTCATCCTTTCTCAGCAATCTAGAGCATTGCGAAGACAGCATTTTAAGATTTTCTTATTTTGCCGTTCAACTTTGAATCTTGTCCGGCGATCTATCACTCACTTATTTTGTGTTCAATGCTCACAAATTTCGCTAATTTGTATGCTCATTTTTTTGGTTTGGATAGTTCTTATTTTCTAAGTAACCCCTATGCCTTCAGCCTTCTGATATCTATTCAGTTTCATGTCTATCAGCATATCCAATAAGATTATATTGGTCCCCATATTTACGTGATTTGCTTATATCCTCTAGCACTTTGTCTTTATGATTTTATCAACCGTCGCATTTACCCTTCTTTTGTATACTCTCTCATTTCTCGTCTTTTCATTTTTCTTAACCATGACGTTATTACTAGACTCTTAGTTTTGAATTTTGCTGTTCAATTTCTAGTCATATTTGCGACGTTTCTCTCCAAATAAACCTTAATAACCATGGTCATTCGATAGAGTTTTAATCAATTAAAATATCCTTATTTCATTCATTTTAATACACCTTTAGTATCCCTGTCTATGACTGATGCTACAAGTACACAAAAATAACAATAGAGTAGCAAGATGCTATCTGAATTATTTGGTTCCCATAAGATTAATCAATACACCTATTGGCCACTTATCTTTTAAGTCGAATGCATTTTTATTATATAAATCGGAAATTTGCTTTTCATTGTTCTACAGGGTCCACAGCATGTTCAAGAAATTCACACGCTGAAGCAGAAACTCATACTAGCCACACAAATGGAATCAGAATATTTGGACGAAATCGAGCAGCTTAAATCGTCTCTGGATTCTTTACGAAAACAATCTGAGGCTAACAAAGATTGCGTCAGGAACAATGAAATTGGTTCGGGAGACGACACTCTTTCGTGTGAAATGCAGAAGAAGATAGGAGAATTAGAGGAAGTCAACGCTACGCTTGTAATTAAGCTTCGGATTGAACGAGATATGAGGACTGAACTTGAAGAAAAACTTGACGCTCTCGTAAAATTTACTTTTAGCGGATATCTGCTATTTACTTTATCTATAATAATCGAGACCCCTTTTCATACTTGTATTTCTAGAATGATGCCAAATCAAAGCAGCCGTCGGAAGAGAGCCGTATCAATGCTATTGAAATCGAATCTCTAAACTTCCAGCTTGAGGAGCTAAAAGAAGCACATGCAAATGAAATTGCCTGTCTGACCAAGCGTTTAAAGGACGTTCTTGATGACCTCGACGAGGCAAGGCTTCAAATAGCTGAAATCAATGCTCAAAGCAATGTGAGCTTTTCGCGGCAAAACTGTCAGGATTATAAGATGTTCTCATCTTAAACGATGAAATGTTATTAGTAAATTTATCCTTTCTCCATTTATAGGTGATCTGCTAATTTTTAGTCTATGTGGATTTTATCTTACTGCTTCACCTTATCCTGTACCCTAAAAGTGATTCTTCGTTAAATGCAAACTGCATTTTTTTCCTCTTTGTCTAACCATAACTTCTGAGAAAGTTGCAATAGAGGGATGCGAGTTAATAATGAGACACGTTATCTCTTATTTAACTGCATACAATTCCTATTGGGTAAATTTTCAAATTCCTTAGTCTAGCGGTTTATTCACAGGCCAGTTGGATTTCTGAGATAGCAGTCCTAAGGGATTGCCGCTTAGATTTGTCATGGACTTTCTTATCATTCATTTGTGTTATATTTTTTTACTATTTTCTAGTCACTTCGCGGGGAGCTTGCTGAAACAAAGGCCCAACTAGAAGGTTTGGAAATGCAAGCTTATTCAATAGAGGGAAAGCGTGGAAACTCCCTTTTTTCCGAGGTAACATTCTGGTGGATATGCTTTGAATGCAACCAATGTTTCTAATGAGGGCAAAAATGTCCTTTAACTTTTATTATCTATTATACTTTAGCCATTCGCATGTTCAAAAAGCTTGTAAGCAAGACAACCATAGAAGCAGATAAATTACTTGATAATACCATAACAATTAAGAGTTTAGATGGAATCTGTTTGGAATTGTTTGATTCATACGCCTAAAACTTCGAAGAAAGTAGTTTGCTTGGGTCCTATAAAGATTTAAAATGATATTAAAAGTCAAATTTACTGTCCTTCCAATTAGAGCTTCATCTATTCTTGCCCTGTTTCTGTTAAATTTTGCTCTTTAGGCAATAATTTAACTATCACTGCTAAGCAAATTGTCTATTTTCTATTACTTTCCTATTATTACAATTAGTGTTTAAGTTGCTCAACACAAAGACTCAATTAATGTGTTATAGCCGAAAAAGCTACTTGGATTGACAAATCTCGTAAAAATTACTAAAATGGAGCATACATATAATGATGCTACAAGTGATTTTGCATAATCTAGGAGGTTGTGCTTTGTTCAAATTGGTACCGAGCCTCAAATGTGTTGCGGATTAAAGATATAAATTATCTTGCATGATGCTTTGGAGCTTATATTTATTCTATTCTATAAGATTTTAAATATTTATTCACTGTTTAAGATCGTGAAACTTCTGTTAACTATTTTGTTTGTAGTAACATGATAAGATTCCTTATATATTGCTTTTATATTAAGATTGTTTGACCCTGTTTTCGCAACATGGTCATATTTGTAGGAAGACTTATTGGAACGCACCTAGTCCGGGGTCCATTGTCTGCATGATTATTTCCAAAGTTGAACAGTAGACGTGGTACATTCCCAGACGTTTCACCGGCATCGTAGTCGGCACCATCAATGAGTATCGCCATTCTTAGCACCATTCAACAACTCGTCAGAGACAAGTAAAGCCGATCCTTGGACCAAACGTGTGCTAAACAGTTGTGGTATCTCCCCTTCTGCCCTGGGTTATTCATATTTACTAAATCATCCTATCACACCTTCCCTGTCACAATTTTACCGTGCTTATTTTGATGTAGTGTGTTGTGCTCCTTCGAGCGACATCCATGAAAACCCTTCACACTCCATGTGGAGTTCTCACCTCCTTCCCCTTTGTGCCGGGAATGTTGACCAGAATCTGTCATATTGTTATGTAGTCCCTTCCTGGGTCCTATCAAAGTCTCCCTCTTGACACGTAAGATCCGTCTACTCTCTCCCTGATTCACATATTTCACTCGACTCCTGCCAGCCAATCTGTGTTGCTCGAGGCGTTATTCGCCCTCCCCCTGTGTCTGGGTAATTAATTCGAGGCTAAAACTCTGTGTAAGTACATGGTCACTCATTTTCTACATGGACCACGTTTATGGTAA